AWWAAWWWWAAAAAMYTWKKTTRCAGTTTCACYTTGGRCTGGAACAAATAATGTGTACACTTTGAACAAGTAACAGTCATTTATTGTAACTATTATTCAACTATAATTTTTACTATAGTTTTATTTGCAAGCCAAGGAAAAAACTTATTAAGTTTCTACATACCAAAAGGAATGTGTCTTTCTGGRGTGAAAAGTGTCACACTTTTTACATCAACCTAAAAAATAGTTCATTCAAGACATGATGGACTTTGGTAATAGGATTCAATAAATTTATTTTTAATTAATGATTAATTAATAATATCAATTAATAATGTATGACAATATATACCTGAACGGCAAAGGTTGTAATCAAAGGTAGTTTATCAAAGAGCCAGGTTTCTAGTGTGTAACCTTGGTTACCAAATGAACTATCAGCATCCTTGCTGCTTGATTTGTCTTCTGGACTTTTCTTCTCCTTTTGTGGGGTGGTTGGTCCACAAACTATGAAAGATTTTTATGATAAAATATATCAAGTGTTTGTATAGAATTAAAGCAACTTTTGTAATAACTTTTTCCATTATCTATCAAAGCGTTTGTATACAATTAAAGCAACTTTTGTCATAACTTTCTCCATTATCTATACCAACATTAATTTTTCACTCAATCGGTCAATTGAAATCACTATTACCTCTAGCAAAGCTTTTCTTTCTTGGTGTCCCAATTGATGAAGTACGAGTTAAMGAAACTCTTCTCCTTTTCCTMTCCYGTTCACTTTTAACATTTGTTGAGGATGGTGAGGTTATGTCCTGTTGACTGTCCAACCAGGAATACARCAARGGATCTAGACAGACAGCTATGCCTTTAACATGAAGCAGGAAGGCATTGGACATCTTTGTTGTCTGTGGTACACCTAGTTAAAAAAAAGTTATGATGATAGTAAAAATAATAAAATAGGGGAATAAGAGTTTGAAGGAATCAGGAAATGAAGAATGGAAAGATAGGAGGAAGGAAGGAAAGAAGGAAGAAATGAAAGAAGAGAGGTAGGGAGGTAGAGKAGGAGGCAAGGAGGAAGTTAGGAAGGAAGGGAGGGAGGCAGTAAGGAGGAGAATGAAAGGAAAGAAGGAAGAAAAGAGGGAAGGAAGGGGTGAAAAAAAAGGAGAAAGAGAGTGAGAAAGAAAGTGAGACAGAAAAGAAAAATTGGAGTGATGCAGAGAGGATGGATGGCTAAAAGAGAAGAAAAATGGAAAGAATGCACATACTAATACTGCTMTTCAAGTCCTGTTGATCCGATTTTAAAGTCATCTGAAAAGAAAGGCTTAGMACTGGCCCCACGATACTYARTTGRTCCTCTTTTGGCATTCCACCACTRAATAATGYCCCACTATATATAGTCCCAGTATCACATGGACCCTGCATTAGGTATGTTGTGGTAACATCATTATCCTTAGCTGTAGTCAATGCTAAACGTAAGGCACCCATGGAGCATGCAGCGGCCATTACAAGGGATGTTGTACAATATTGGATATCAATATTTGTAATGCTGATATCAAGATGAGATGATGAACTACTGTGAACTGAAATAAAAAAAAAGAGAATTAAATAGATAAAATAAATGGAATGATGAGAAAATGAATGTCAGACAAATTAATCRAWCACCACAGGAGCCAGGATGAGTKWCATGCRACTTACCATCTTTGTCAAAAACTTTGTTTATCATTGATGTCGATAAAACAGGAATGTCTTTCTTCTGTAGAAGAGTAGCTGACCAGGAAGAAACCAGATGATGCATAACTAGTAGCTGTGGTTTAGTGAAGTGGAAAACTAATGATGGTACTTCCAGATGTGCTTCCATTCTCTTAATGCTTTCATTACCCCTTAAAAAACATCATTATCATCATCATCATTGGCATCATCATTGTCATCATCATAATCATCAAGAAAAGACAGTGAATTTCCAACTTATGCATAATACAACTTATCATATGACTCGTATTTCGGCCCTACGCGCGCTCTCACTGAAACCTTTGGAAAATGGTCACACGTGATGGGGTCCGTATGCCTTTTCTCGACAGGTCCGTACAAACCCGTATTTTCCCGGCTTGAAGTTCCGTGCGCTTATATTTTTTTACATTAAAAAACGCTGTCATATGATAAAATGCTTATTGACTGAGTTATGTCGGGCCATACGGGAAAATATTTGGCTCTCGGTCATTTGTATGGACCTCGCTGCGCTCGGTCCGTACGGCATAACCTCGAGCCAAATATTTTCCTGTACGGCCCTCCCACTCAGTCAATAAGTACATAATATCAATTCTTAAAAGGTTTTCATGTCCTAAAATACACACTAAAATTCAAAATCACTCTAGTAATAGGTAATAGTTCATTTGGTGTTTTCCTTTCAAATTATTTCAAAAACAGTTCATTGCAAATAYATTKTTGTTGTMTTTATGTCTTATCAACATGTASTAGACAATAKAAATGAGATTGAGTGARTGTTATWMTWRAAAAAAMTAATAAAGAAAAGTGTTAAGATGCCTKYGATAGACAAATATCAATGTCAAATGACCTTTGTCTATCACAGGCATCCTAACACTTACAGATTTTTACAAAAAAMAATAAATGAGCTCACCAGTTGTTKGGYAATATACACTCCWTTAGTGATAATATCATGCTAGTTGGCGGCATTACATTAATGTCTTTACATCCAGACACATTATGTGATAAATTTACTTGTGTATTGAATATTTCAATAATGGCATTGTTGAATGCATGGTGTATCATAGATTTGCCRGCTGGAAAGTCTGCATTGGCAATGATGAGCTTGCAAAGCTCTGTGGGATACATTGGGTTGTTTCTTTGAATTTCCATTCTATCGAGAGTAAAGACTAAGGCTGGCATGGAGTCAGAAGAGTTCATCTTACTCTAAAAGAACAATTTTTATTGTAGAACAATTGAGTTGTGTTTGATCTTTTGTTTGAAGAACTGAGCAAAGAATGGGAGAAAAATGAGAGGAAATGAAAAATGAACAAACTGAAGAAATGAAAAATGGGAATGAATAAACAATTGAAGTAATCCTAACAAATTCATGAATACTAAAAAGAGAAATAGAGAATGAGATGGGAAAGAAATAAAGTAACAGAGGAGAATMAAAGACCAGGAACAGGGCACTAAAAATGATATATATACACAGGATGCTGAATGAAGGAATGTCACTCCTACCAATTCATGAATACTTTGCAGACTTGCGGCACTCTCTGGAGAGCGGCCAGCAGATTGTAATGCAATGCTTGGCTCAGCATGGTCTGACGGTGGGAYGCTTAGTTTGACAGACAACATAGTAATGGTGAAATAGCGACAGGGAATGTTTCCAGCAAGAAGCTGCTTCTCAACAAACTCATCATAAAACGGAGCATCTTTTACTAAAAGAAAGCAGAAAGAAGACTTTTTTTAATATGCTTAATAATGTTATCAAGTGGTTTGTCATCGGCAACATCTTCTCTATATTAATGATTGTATATTGTACCATTTTCAGGCATGTCAATAGTAACAGTACTCTTTGTAAACTACTGAGGAAGTTCCATGTTCGGACTGAAACGTCTAGTAAAAACTTTATTTATTTTAACCTAAGCCAGAGCCACAAAATACTTTCAATTCAAGTACCAACCTTTCCTTTCTGGTGCATCATCAAATGAACACTCATAGATCTTCATCATTCTATGTAACAAACCAGTAGTCACTTGAACATGAGTTGCACCAAGAATGATYCTCTTGTGTGACACCTCCCTTACAAGCCTTATATTACCAAGRTAGTCCAAGCCWATTGTCTCTCCYTCTTCAGTCTTCTCCTTTTCWGGTTCAATCTCCATTGTGTACAARTAATCAAAGAAAAAAGCACCAAASCGTTTGACGGCAAAAGATTCTGAATATTGTTCAAGAAATGAAYTGGCTTCATATACCAGCTCTGGGAGTTTAAAGGAAGTATTTTCACTTTCGTAGAACAAGGATCCGATTAAAAATCCTTGAGGTTCTGAAGTTGTTTGCTCTGGTGCACTGACTGTAAGAAATTCTTCCTCCTGTTTGAATGGAGAGGATTTGTGGTTAGTTTATGAATTTAATAAACAAATCAATAAATGGGATTATCARTCAGTCAATCAATTGGAGTAATAAATCAATCAGTCAATGAAATTAATAATTAATAATAATTRATAATAGTTAATATTTAATTGATAATAAGACAGATAATAAGACAAAGATGGTAATAGTCTAGTAAATTATCCGAATGACCATCAATGCTAGTTTGTACGTAAAAAAAAATTGATGAAAAAAAAATGAGTACCTAAAAAGAAAAATAAACTTAAGATATTTTTTATCAATCACAGTATTCATTTCCTTACTTTTTCATCCAATTCTTCTTCTTCCTCWATGGATCTAATGTCAAGGTCATTGCCATGGTAACACGCACAATCACCAATAGTCCAACCCATGATKGACGTGACACCAAGTTGAGCATCAAAAAATTCTTCTCCCTTCAACACCATCTCCACGGCAACACCTGACATCTCACAACTTATTAGTGGTCGGAATTGAAACCTTTGAGCTCCAAAAAAAGTGCTTTCACTAACTTTATGTGTAAGCTTTACAGTGAAGCTAACTTGAGATATGTAGAGACCTATATTGACCTGGACATCAGGTGCAAGGAGCTTTGGTTCTTCTGAAGACTCTTCTGCTTCAGCCTCYGGRATAAAGGACCACATCCARCTGACCCAGTCCTCTTGTGGAACTKCYGCTGCCACTGGAGAAGATGCTGGATCAACTAGTTCAGGTTTTTGCTCCAGGCTTGAAATACTTGATTTCCTGGACTGCGCTTGGTTGCTGTCAATCAGTTTAGCGGCAGGGTGTGGTTTGTAGTCACAGCCAGGAAGGTCCAGGGTGCCGTAATACATTGATATGCAAAGTTTTAATRATCTAACAAATAAAGGAATCTGTTCRTTKGTTAGTGATAAATCAAAACACTCGCAGTAMAGGTTAAGCTTGATCCCTTTGGGACGTAAGTGTGCGTCATAGTTTATTTTAACTCTGCAGCTTAACCCACACTTRAACAGCAATGGGTCCTGATACATTTCGATACCACCACTRGTACTCTTCTTGTCCAGGCATATGGTCAAATCAGATATGTTACAGACCTTGTGTAGAACATAATCAGGCGCAACAATGTCTACAAAGGCTTTTTTCCAGTCACTATTGACACTAAATGTCTCAGCTGACTTCACATTAACAGAGAGTACAATGTCATCTTCGACATACTTCAAAACRACATTATGCAYACAAATTGAGATGTTATTAGCCACTCTGTTGACTAAACTTTGGACATATCCTGCCGGTGGAGGTTCTCCTCTRTCGTGAAGATTTTCCTTGTCCAGTTCCTTTTGGACCTCYGATGCAGTCAAGTGCATTGAAGTATCTGTTTCTTGTTTAAATGAAGGGTCCTTTAGTTGAATGACACATTCAATSGTATTGATGGTTATTTCAACTGGTTCTGATACAAGTTTTGTCCAAGGTACATGGATTTGTAGCTTGTGAATTTTTCCACTAAGGAAAGTGATTGGCAGGTGAAGCTCCTATGAAAATACATACTAGAGTTACKACAGTTACTTTTGACACAGGCAGCCCAACCACTTAGTTTGAAGATAATTCACAACTACTATTAAAAAGTTTACTATTTAGSTGAACTGTACTATTTATTTAAATTAACAATACTACAAAAAGTACCCTCTAAAAATAACAAAAATTCCTTTTGCGTAATTAAAGCACAATTTACCTTTTCCAAGACGTCAAGTCGCAGTTCTAAGTTGTAAAGAACAACATCRCCACCCCATATTGACAAACTAAGGTCAGAAGGTTTGAGGTTTTTGATGTAYTTGTCGACATAGCTCATTAACAAAGGCGTTATATACGTCTCCAACATCTTGAATGTCACTTTAACAAAGTCTTGGGACTTAAATGAAGCCTAAAACTGTAATTAGGTGATCAAAACATCAAATTTGCGCAACAGAGTGTCTCTGTCGGAGGCCAGACGAAGCTCTCGCCATCTTGCTTGAAKTGTAAATCAAATTTTATGCGCATTTTTCCTCGTTAGTTTTGCGAATCAAATGCTGTAGTTCTGTGTAAAGAACTCTACAACCTTAAGTCACCATTTTAAGTTCACTTCGTAAAGGAATTTTGCACTATTTCTCTGCATTCTGTTCTTTCTTCTCGTGTCCAAATCAAAATCAGTCAGGCAGCACTAGCAAAACATAAACCGAGTGTTTTGATTGGCCTATTGAAAGCATTAACCAATCAGAGGTCGTGTTATATTGTCCGCCTGCGTGGCAAAACAAAAACTCGTTCCCAGCTCTTTCTATCAACTCCCGCTGTTTTTGGACTAAAAGACTGGACAGTTATTTAAATTGCGTAAGTTCACGTAACGCAAGGTCCWCTTTGTTTACAAATGTTATGTTCACAAAGAATGAAATCATGTTGCTCCATGTGACCGGWGTTTTACCGCACAATTTTAAAAGATTTTGCGAAGAACATTATGGAAATACGATATAGAAGATAGCGTTCTTGTGAAATTCATGGGTGCAACTGAAAGTCAGCATTTTGACGATGAAGACGATTCAATTTTTACCAACAAGGAAGGGAACGATGGAGAAAAAGAGTCAGAGGACAAAGATGCTGTTAAGAAAGCGCCGCCAGACGGTAAGAAAAGGCTAGAGAACTTTGTTTACATCTATACAAACACTGCCGGTTCCTGGGTCGTGAAATTTCGCTGACGATTTTCCAATGTGTTACTTTATGGAAATCGGTACGCTCGAGTGGGTACGAGAGTTACCTGGTCTGTAGGTATCAAAAGTGTTAAGGCCTGCACTGGACTGGTTTTTAGTCGAAATGTTGATGGGTTGGATGAGTGGGTACCCTGTGTCCTTGTACTGTGACCCGATCTTCGGTAAGATGACGTGGGGAGGTCAGCTCATCCATTCACATTCTCTATTTCATTCTTTCATTCGTATTCCGGTTATTTTGTTTTTCTAGTTTGTGCTTGGTTGGTGAGCGGTTGGTTGAGTGGCGATTTTTTTTCGTTAATTTATCCAGTCAGGCCATCAGGCAACCATGAAATTAATATACGCAGGGGACGGGGAGAGGGCACTTGGGGGGTGGTTACGTATATGTTATGTTCCTGCTTGATTGTCGTTGTCGGTTAAGTGAAAAATAGGCAGTCGAGGACTACATGTGACTCAGAGATTTAATAAACATCGAGTTAGTTGGGTTACAAAATGGCAATTTAATTTAATTGCTTGGAAGTTTTTGACAACAACAGTCAACAGGCAGGGGCGGCCCCCGCGGCCCCCCTTTTTCTTGAAAAAAAAAAACTTGAAAAGATCCTTGTCAATATCCCTGAAAATTCTGGAAATCGCATTTTTGACGGTTTAAATTTCAAAACCCACAATGCATTTTTCTCTTAATTGAAATGCACTATCTTTAGTATTCAACGTTTTCTGAATTAGTTGTATACGCTAAAAGGAACTGGAAGAACCAAGTGGCGATCAACCATTAAGGCCCGTTTACACTTGCGATTTTTGCAGTGCAATTGTCGCGCGACAATCTCCACTTTATTCTCGCGCACCTCAAATTGCGCAAGTGTAAACAGCCCTGCGATTGCCGTGGCGGTCGAAATTTCAAAATAAAAATGAATAAATGAATAAATAAATAAAGTTGCCGCGAGTTGCAGTTAAATTTCAAGCAGGTTCGAAACTCAGGCGATTGTCGCACGGCAATCGCGCTGCAGAAATCACAAATATAAACGGGCCTTTTACGTTATAAATACACACCAGACAGCGKCCAAGGAATTGTGATGCATTGGTTGATCATTCCTCCCGTGGGGGCCTGACCGGGGGCGCCTTTAGTGTTTCCCTGCCTACAATTAAACATATTTTTTATCCGCAACATGGGTTCCTTAGAGCTTGAATTTAGCTGTATTCAAAGACATCTTTCTGTATCTGTTTACTTATAAACTCATGATAAATTCTCGAACGTTTTCTTCGATAAAATGTTTATATGTTTGCGTGTAATGTCGGAGTTCCAGAGGCCTTCAATTGTGTTGCATTGAATCTCGGCAAACTTTGGCAACAGCTAGTATCTGCTAGGCTGTCAACCACTTACGTTTAAGAATTTCAAGAGATTTTTGTAGTGCTGTTTATCCGAAAACTAGTAATGTCTAACATTTAACAATAATAACAATAATGACTAGTAATGTTCGTCAGATATAAAAACGGTGCACTTTTTCCTGTGATGATTTGGAAAACAATAACGACAATTGAACAGCTTGACGAAAGCCGTCACATTCCATCGAATACATCGCATCGGCCGCAAACCAACACTCGGCACCCATCYCCACCCCCMTCAAATAAATCCATTGAAGAATGATTATGCAAACCCATCCCCACCCCCGTCAAATAAATCCACGAAGAATGATTATACAAACCCGTATCTTTGCTAATTCCTGAGCTGAGCTCTTATTGGCTCGATGCTCCTTAAGGATTTAGGTGACGTCATATATTAGCATAGAACTTCACCGAATAGACTACCCCAATTAGATATTAGATCTATAAGTGTCCTCATAGTACGATGGTCTAAGAGGGTAGCTAAAGGTATGCTCTAGTGGGCGGCTACCCCCTCACTCCCTGGCCTTTTGGTTAAGACTAAGTTTTATGTTCACTCGGGATAGCGTGGAAGAGCCGAAATCTCTAACCGTATCGTAAGCCGATTCGCCGCCTCAGCTTCATAGAATGTCTCGGGGGAATCGTCCCATCTTTTTATTTATTTTTTTTCATTGTTTCTTATACATGTCCGGGGGGTGCATCTTCCACTCAAGTGAAAGTTCCGAGTTCGAGTCCTGCTGCTGGAATTTCTCTTTTTTGCATGTTTCTTTTTCGTTTGTTTCTTGTTTTCTTTTTTTCTTTCTTCTTTCTTTTCTTCTTTTTCTTTCCTGTAGTTACTTTGTTTGTTGTTCACTAGGGATTTTCTCTTTCAAACGTTTAAGTTTAAAAACATATACTCGCAAGGAATGCTATGGCCTGCTACAAGGTCACTCAACACGGTGCCATAGAGGCCCCATTAGGCCTTCCGTCACAAAAACTGACCAATCCCTTTATGTTCGCTCCAAGAACGTGGTGGGTTTTAGAGACGGAGGGCAGTTTTTCACTATTGGAACCGACATCACTAATTCTTACCTCAATCAGTCAGTTAATCCAGTTTTTCTGTAGACTGGGCAACAAAGGCCCCAACTGTACCGGAGGACCTGAGACACGGCCTKGCGACCGTAGCACCCGCTGACACGACACACCTAGAAGGAGTCTACGRGGATTTYGAGGTCATTGGAGAAACTGCATTCATGAAAGCTGAAAATGGTAAAGAATCAAAGTTTAATACTTTGTGCTTTCACAACAAAGGTTTTTACTTTTTTTTTACGTTTTTTACTTCTTAAAGTTGATATATTCTGGGTTGTTTTAGAGTTATTTAAAACGGGGCATGTATTTTGTTCAAAATTAGATCATTCTGATCCATATGTGGTGAAGGCTGATGCGAAAGAAATTTCTGAGAACATTTGCAAGATGGAGAATGATGGTTTATTTACAGATAACCTGCAGTATTTCAGACCTCACCTGAAGAGATCAATGTACAAGAAAAAACGCAACAGCATCGAAGAGTCGCAAGGTAAACTTACATTTCAGACATGATAAGATAGAAAAGAAGAGAGAAGAGAAGAGAATTTAGAAATTAACACAAAGAAGAAAAACATCATTGAAGAAAATAGAGGGAAAATGTGTCCGCTTGTTGAAGCGTTGCGCACAATATTTTTTAGTAGTGGGTTCGAATACCAGGAATGCGCGTTCGGACAATATTGTTAAATAATCCTCATTTTTTCGTTACTTGTTTTATTTTTATGGTCATCATTCGTATTTACCTATAAACGTTTTTCGAAAAAAGGCAAATCACACGCATTTTTTTCAACATTTTGAATCTCAGTGTAGTCAGCGGTTAACACCAATAGGTTAACATGCGCACATACGTCGTATCGTAAAGGAAGTAGACAGTTCGATCACGAGTATCTCCAKCTAATTGCTTGTATTTTTCTCCCATTTTACTCCCGGAGATGTTCTCCCTTTCACCCGAAGATGACGATGGTGCATTTTCAGGTCCTGCCGGAGGAGGGTAAGGGAAACTTTCATTGATCAAGTAACTTGTTGTGATTTGCGAGCCTCTTTGATTCCTGTAGTTGCTGCGATCGTAGTTTCCTGATATAGTTTGTTTATTTACTTTTTGTCCAGTTCTTCAAAACTTGCAAGCCTTTTTGGACACGACAGAGCTTCATTCTCTGGAGGCAACGAATCGTTAACGTACACGGCGCCTAAGCAACCCAAGAAAGAGAAACCAGGTTTGTTTTAAGTTGCTTTTGCAATCTTGGTTTAAAGTTCATATTCCGAAGGAAGTGAGGTCAGACGTGATTTCTTTTGGAGTCATGAACTTAATTGAGTTTTCGCACTCTTTAAGATTTTTATGATTTAGTATGCAACATATTGTACGAAATCGAAGTACCACTATTTAGTATTAATTCTTAACATGTATTATTTCTTAGAAATTTGGTTAAGTATTGGTTAAGTATTAATTTATTAAACTTTCTGCTATTTTTAGCTGCATCACAAGGCGATGCACCTGCAGTTGTGTTTGCAACAGCTGTTCATGCCTATAAATTGTGAGTAGCTTCATATATGCCTCAGTTGTATCATGGAACTACAGTGTACAATATGTGTTTGGGCTTCCTGTTTTCTGATATGACCAAATAGGGTTATGGGATTATGTCACTGATTCGACTAAACAAAAAAGATACCACAGGGATCCCAAAAAGGAAAAACTGAAGGGAGTCTGCTATTGACCATGATCTAGATTGTTGATTTTGTAGTGTAAACAATTATATTTGATTTCCATACAGTGTTGAAAATCAATACAAAAATCAGGGAAAACTTGGTGCTGCTGTTCTGGCAAACCATACAACAAATGACGTAAGTACAGTTACTGTAACATTTTGACAACAAAGCTTTGTTAGTGTGATATTTTTCGCATATTTATCTGCAAAATTATACATGTTTAACACACTTGTTTAACACACTTTGTTATTGATTCTTGTAGTACAAGATTTTGCTCTATGCTGCTAAACAACAGCAAGTTGCCATGGCAAAAGTGTACAATCAATTTCCTTTTACTGTAAGTATGAAGTTTGAACTTACAATTTGTGAAATAGTTTTTCAACAAATTTTATACAAAATGTCTTCTCTTGTTTAAATAATGCAGTTTTATGGAATTTCTCATAAAGTGTTTGAAGGATGACAAATTCACTCAGTGAATAATGCAATAGTTGTGATTGCAATGTTGTCATTTCTAGGTGCAAGCGAATAATTATGCCAGTTTCTGTGATGATCAAAGACAGCGCTGGTCAATATGCTTYGATTCAGCTGCAAATGCAGCACAGTTTTCAAAACAGGTAAATACATTATCATGAGTATTAAAATAAACTGGAAATCTAAATGTTTCAAGAGAATCAGCTTCAAATCATTTATATGATTTTTAAATCATAAAAAAATAAAATATATTAATTTTAATGTAATTTTGATTTTAAATGTAATTTTATAGATTGGTTTAGCTCTCTATAATATGCAATCAAACTCGCTCTGCACACAAGATCTTGTTCTTGGTGATTCTCAGGTAAGTAAACATTGTTTTCCTTAGTGGAACAAGATTTTATTAAGTGATAATGTTTTATTTTTGTTGAAAAGTAAGACTAAAGAGAAAACATTTCTTCATCATTGTGTAATTATAGCAGTAGTATTGAATGTCAGGAGCAAACAGCTTTATTGTCAACTATAAAAATAAGGATGAATATTTATAGCTCTTTTTGTTGTTAGCCTGTAGAGGTGGGAGATGGTGTTGAAGTGAAGTATACTGGTTGGCTTTGGACAAATAACATGTTTGGAAAGGTAACACTAAGAGCTTTGTGTCTAAGTCATGGCATTGTAAATCTACTTACTATAAGTACAGTATATTTAGTGTTTTGCATGGTATATTAACTGCAGTATTTCAGCTTAACTTGAAAATTGTACAAGGAATCAAATTATTTTTACCTATAGATTTTTTTATTATACTTAATAGGTATTTGATAGCAATGCAGAATCGGAAAAGACATTCAAATTCAGAACTGGAAAAGGAAAAGTAATAAAGGTGAACACTTTGAATAAAATTAAATTCAATTAAAATTCATCTGGTATTATTGTAGACTCAGTTTTTGATAATTCTGTTTTAAATCCAGGGCTGGGATCAAGGTGTTATTGGTATGAAAAAAGGAGGGAAAAGATTTATAGGAATTCCACCATCACTTGCATATGGRGAAAAGGTATCTTAATTCATATTTTTGACTAGTATTTTATTGAATTTATAAGTATATTCATGACTAGAATTCATCATACTAACGCTGAATAAAAGCGGTTGTTTTTTTACATCCATTTACATTGTGTTTTACTGTGTTTTGGTATGTTTTTCATCTCTTTCAGGGAGTTGGAGGTGGAAGAGTTCCTCCAAATGCCTCATTATTRTTTGAAGTCGAAGTACTTAGGGTAAGAGTGACATCAATTAAACTGTCTACTAAACTGTTGTATATTCACCATTAACAAGATAAAGTGGTTTAAAATATTTGTTATAATGTTTGTAGATAAAATCAAAAGAAAATACTGATAATGGTGAAGCAAAAASCAGTCCAAGAACACAGTCTCCAATGACTGTCCCTGAGCCAAAAGARTCATCACCTCAAATGCCTTCTCTGCCAAATATAACCAGTGAACCATCTGGAGTGAAGAAAAGATCTGATTCTTCCACAAGGTATGCATACAGAAGTTCAAAAATAATAATTTATTGATAACTTACTAGATTACCTGGTTTCAAGAGGCAAAAMAGGGCATGGCSTGTGAGCTGTCTTAATTTGCTCTTGTGTAAAGATCTWARTTTATTTTCYTYTGTCATAGCATCAAAGGAAGAACTGCTTCCCTCARTGAACAACTTTCTCAAGTAAGTAATATTAAATAAAATGTCTTTARTTAACCGTRTCATGTTCAAAAGCTTTGCTTGTTGGGAATAAAAAGCTTATGAATCAAAGCCAGTGAATGAGAAAACCRTTTTCTAAGTTAAAAGGTAAAAATACTGATGTATTTTTTTTGTTTAAGTCTCCAGGCAAGAATTCAGACAAGGCCAAACTACTAGCACGCATGTCAAAGATGGGCAAGAATGTATTGTCTTCTGGAGCGCCAACTGTCACTGACCTTGATAATGAAGAAGAAGAAGAGGTATAAGGAACTCTATTCAACAAACAGCATTAATTATCTTATCATGGATTTCATAAACCTGTAAAACAATTGCTTATTTTTTAGGAAACAAACTCTATTTCGTCACCAACTGCAGAAGCAGACCCAGTAGAACATGAAGTTCCTATATCACCAACGTCACCTTCACCAAAACACAACCCAGCAACAGAACATGCCCACTCAAATCCACGTCCTAATCCAAGGAGTAAGCCCCATGTACCTCAAAGACCTGTTCCAGTGCAGCCACACCCAGAAGTACATCATCATCCCTCTGTGCCTGCCACAGGGTACCCAACACAGCAAGTTGCACTCTATCAGGTA